TTTTGCCATACTCGTACATCTTTGATGGCATTATATTTCCTCTTTTAAACCCCATTGAGGAGGAGTCTCAATAGCCCCTCCCTCTCCCCCTGCCACCGCCTCCTCTACCTCTATTCCCACCAAATCCTCCACCTCTCCCTCGCCCACCTCCACGCCCACCCCCTCCACCTCTGCCACCACCAAATCCATCTCGCCTCGGCTCTGCAGGCGCCGGCCCTTTCGCAGCCCTCTCCTCCTTTTCCTCGTCTGTAGCGAAGAACTTATTCTCGATTCCCAACAACTCACAATACGCCACCATCTGGGGATTATTATATTCCTTCGGCTGCTCACTGATATTTAGCGTTGGAGGGACCCCGTCCTGTACTGGCGCCGTGATGACGAAATTCTCGGGCACCTGTAGCTTCCCCTTCTTAACGATGTTCTCCTCAACCCAAATCTCTTCTGCCTTAATAAGCTCCCTATATTTCTCTTCGCCTAAATCAGAAGGCGGCCGAGCTGCACGGTCACCGAGGACCAACGACGGTGAGAAGGCGCGCGTGATGGCGAGCCACTCTGGGTCGTACGATAGATGGTACCGAGGCCATCCAGGCGCCCCAGTGGATCCATCGGCACCACTCTCGGCGGATAGAGGAGGATAGTTCGGCGCTGGAGGCGAGGAGGGCGAAACTTCGAGTAGTTGGAGAAATTTGCGGCCTGGGAGGCATTTGTCGAGCGCGAGGAAGCGGACGGTGCTGTTGAAGATGGTTTCGGGAACTGGCTGGCCAGGCGGCAAACGAGAAGAGGGAGCAGGGCGGGAAAATGATGCAGGGAGCAGGGCACGGAGGTCTTCGGAAATGGAGTCGGTGGGCTTTGTGGTAGTTGGGGCATCTTCTGGCTTTGGTGCGGGTGCAGGAGGCTCGTCGTCATCGTCCATGTCGAGGTCTATCTCTTCTTCATTCTTTGTTGCGGTTGGGACGATATTATCAGCGGCCGCAGCTGCTGGTGTTGCGATTGTTTGTGGCGTAGAGTCTGCAGTCTCGTCCTTGTAGATCTTGGTCGCAGCAAATTTGCAATGCATATGCGCCGCGAACCAATACGGGGGTCGTAGTCGGTCAAGAACATATGTCGCAGCCTGGCTACCAAGAGTGCCATCTCTAGATTCCTTCTCGAAATCTGGTTTCATTCTCCATAGAGCTTTAGCATTGCCGTGATTCTCGATTGCTCTCGGCCAATCGTGGCTGATGCCGATATCAACTTGTGTCCGTACTTGCAATAGTTTCCGGACATCCAGCTCTCGGATATGATATATAGACTTTATATCATCTTGGTTATATGGCAACCGCTCGTGGTGACTCTTGTTGTAGTTGTACCCCTTCCATATCCCAGACATACCTGATATGCGCACAGGTCCGAGTCGCATCACGTTGGCAGCCCCCATATAATAGATATTCGGCGCCACCCAGCCACCATAGTAAAGTTCCCACAAATGACTACTTGCTTCATGGTTGCCTCCGACGAATATTGTCAGATAAGGGGCTTTGCGAATGCCGCTGTAGTATTCGTGGAAGTCGCCCAGTTCCCGAAATCTAGCGGGGACTGACATGACAGTCAGGTCGAGGACATTTCGAACAGCCTAGACTTGTCAGATCAATTACAGATAAGCTAAATCGGAATATTAACCTGGAAATCTCCCCCAATGATCAACAAGTCAACATTTGGCCAGCCCCTCTCCTCGCAGGCCTTCTCTGTTGCGGCGTAGATGGCATTCAATGTGCCATGGCCCTGCGATTAGGTTAGCTATAGTAAAGACTGGACTTTCTGTAAGCTTACACAGCCTTCCACAGCAACCCTTAGGCCATGTATATCTTGAAGAGAGTTATCCATAGCAAAGTATCTTGGGAATGCCTGATGGATTAAAACGGTGGATGAGGATTCAAGCTCGCGCAAGGCTGACCAAACTTCCCCAGATGTCACAACCCAATTTTTACTCAGAATTACTCTGGACCTATTTTCGAGATTATGCTCAGTCCTATCTTAAATAATATTGGAGAACCTATTTTTCATCTAATACAATTCTTCAAGCAAACCAAATGCATGTTTATGTAGCTTCAATTAACCTTCGTCCGAGACACGTACGTTCACGTGACCATTGTTCCTGCGAGGCTGAAGAAATATAAAAGCTTGGCTTGATTGACCGAAACTTCAATCCTGCCCCTGCACAAACCTTCAAACCGCGCATCATAAGCCGAGGATTTAAAGGAAGATGGCTCAAGATCCGGGGGCTGCGGGAGCCTTGTCAGCACAGCTGAAATATTTGACCGACGCGGCTCATCTAATGGCATTTTCAGCACCTGGCTCTTCATCGCACCTCATGTCGAGATGTAACCTATTAATGTTCTCAAACGATATCAACCAGTCCGACTCTCACCGAAGGCATGTATGCGGTGGTTGCGGTAACATAATGACCCCAGGATGGACCAGCACGGTCAAGAATGAGGTGCAGCGCCCACCTAGGAGTCGGCAAACTCGCAAGAGGAAGGCAAGTGCTATCACCCAGGCAGCAGAGCGTTCCATGGTCTACGCCTGTGACCGTTGCAAACGTGAGACTCGCCATGTTATCACTACAACAGCTCTCCCACGGATAGCCTCTCGTCGCGCAGAACAGTCAAACCTAACCTCAGGGGAAGCCCCAGAGCGCCTTACCAGCGCCTCCCAATCGCAAGCTGCAACTCCGACAACGCCGTCAGCGAATGCTAGCAGCAGAAAGAGAGCGAAGAGCCGGAAGCAGGGAGGTCTGCAAGCCTTGTTGGCCAAAAACAAGGAAGCCTCACAAAACTCAAGCAGTGGCTTTGGTTTGGATCTTATGGATCTTATGAACAATGGTTAAGAACCACTTTATAAGTTTCGTTATAAGCCAGTTACCAGCCATTTCACTTCACGGATTCAGTTCACCACCGAGCTCGGCCTGGTGCCGGGCACTCTCCCGTTGGTGGATGTTGGTGGACGTCGGTGGACGCTGTGGAGCCCTAGCGCGGGGTAACAAACCAAAAGGCTCAGCCTCGCCACAACGTCACAGAAAATTTTGTGGAACCCCGCCACCAAAACGCTCTCTCTTCGTCAGCAATCATATAATTTTCAAACCAACAAACCATCAATATGTCTGCTCCAGAGAGTAACCCCAAGCCGGATGGCAAGGCTTTCGATGACTTCTTCGACAGCATCGGGTCGAAGGCCGAGCAAGTAGACTCCTCCAAAGCCAAGGATGCGACAGATGCGACTCCCGCCGTGGAAGAGGAAGAGGACCAGAAGGTTGTGGACGAGATTGAGAGTCTGTGCATGAACTGCCACGCAAATGTATGTATCTTCTTACTGCTGAATGTCATGGATATTTCTAATACTATTGCAATAGGGTATCACTCGACTCCTCCTCACCCGAATCCCTTTCTTCCGCGAAATCATCATTATGTCCTTCAACTGCCCGCACTGCAGTTTCAAAAACTCCGAGATTCAGTCCGCCGGCGAAATTCAACAGAAGGGTATCCACTGCGAGTTGCGACTCACTTCCCTGGCAGACTTTGCCCGTCAAGTTGTCAAGAGCGATACGTGCGTGGTGAAGTTTATCGAGTTGGACGTCGAGGTACCCGCCGGCCGCGGACAACTCAGCAACGTTGAGGGATTGTTAAGCATGATTTTGGAAGATCTGGAGGTTGGCCAGAAGGCAAGAAAAGAGCAACAGCCAGAGGTCTATACCGCTGTCGAGGCGATTCTTGTCAAGGGACGAAAGATGCTGGACGGGGTGGCATTCCCCTTCCGCGTCTCTCTGGATGACCCCTCCGGGAATTCATTGATTGAGCCAGATCAGACAGATGGTGTTGGAAAACTGCTGCGCACGGAGTATCCTAGAACGCCAGAGCAGAATGAGGCGCTTGGTTTGGGTGATGGTTCCAATGAGGAGAATAATGCAGCCGGAGGTGCAGCTGCCGCAATGGAAGATGATGATATTATCCCCAACGAGGTCTACTCTTTCCCAGCAACATGTCCTGGGTGCACCAAGCATTGCACTACCCACATGAAGATGGTGGAAATTCCCCATTTCAAGCAAGTTGTTATCATGTCGACTGTCTGCGACCTATGCGGCTATCGCTCCAACGAAGTTAAGACCGGCGGTGAAGTTCCAGAGAAGGGAAAGAAAATCACGCTGAAGGTTGAGAGCGAGATTGACTTGGCCAGAGACATTCTGAAGTCTGAGTCTTGCGCCCTTGAATGCCCGGAGCTCAAGTTATCCGTCAACCCCGGAACGCTCGGAGGACGATTCACAACGGTTGAGGGCCTTCTGACACAGATCCGCGACGACCTTAAGAATCAGATCTTTGATGTCGGCGACGCTGGGGGCGATTCATTGCAAACTACCCAGCAAGAGAGCTGGACTAAGTTCTTTGATGGCATCGACGCTGCAATCAAGGGCGAAGTAAAGTTCACAGTTATCCTGAGCGATCCTCTCGCAAGCAGCTACGTCCAGAATCTCTGCAGCCCCGATGATGATCCTCAGATTACCTCGGAGGAGTACGAAAGGACTGCGGAGGAGGAAGAGGACTTGGGATTGAATGATATCAAGACAGAGGGTTATGAGGAGGGACATGCCGCAGATGTTAAGGCTGAGCAGGATAGAAAGGATGAGGAGGCCAAGAGTGCATAGAAAGTAAAGTAGAATACTAAAGAGTAAATAAATCAAATTATAATAACTATTGAGTTAGTAAATATTTTTCCAAGAGACTTAATTAATGTACATTATGTCAATTGATAATTGATATTTAAGCTCTTATTTAATAATATCTCGCATATAATTTGCGATTAGTAACCCTAGCCGGGGTAGACCTACCATTTAACGGATAACCAATATTTTAACATGCTTTGTTCATTTGTATGTGATATTTTTTAGTAAAAAAAATGCCTAGAGTTTCCCTCGATAGCATTATCTATGTTTCATCCAATATAAAAACTTGAGTGAATCAAAAAAAAATTGAGAGCCGCAGGATTCGAACCTGCGCGGTTTCCCACTGCGGGAATCAAGGTTTCCTTGCGGATGACCTAAACACAGCGCCTTAACCACTCGGCCAGACTCCCAGACTAGATTGATTTTCCAGGCATACTTAGGTACACTAGGCAAGAAAACAATACAAAAGTACAAAAGTACAAAAAACAAAACACAACACCCCACCCACCCACACCTTGCTTGTCCAAGGCCGGCGCAAGTGAATCTCAGCCTCGCGGATATTTTATTTATCGCCAAAGCCTTATCGACGGCCCTGAGCCATCCGCCGTCACAGTCACACGAACACTCCACAAAGGCGGAACTGTAACGAAACACACCATGTCCGAAGCGACGATTGATGAGGATGCGCCATTGACGACTCTCTCAAAGGGCCCTCAGCATGACGAGAACTTCGACCCGGACGATGAGGTCCAGGACTACCGATTCATCGCGGCGATGAGCTCGAGTGGTGGGAAGAGCACGATCCCGAAACGGGGAGAGAAGGACTTTGAGCCGCATGGAACGAAACACCAGGAATCGGTTTTGGATGCGAGTAGGCAGGCGATGCATGATGCGCTCGATTATACGAGATCGCATGGGCCGAAGTCTTCGGTGCGCGCGTGGTATTTTGGGGATGGGGTTCAGGAGCCAAGGTCACAGAAGAGGAGGGATAAGGATACACATGATGGGGAGGAAGAAGAGGATGAAGAGACAGTGGATATCCTCGATCCGTCTATAAGAGGGAGGGGATTGGACAGAGATATGACGGTCATGGTGGAATCGAGCAAGGGAACTCATTTCCGAACTATGGGGAAGACACCTATGGGAACTAAGTCGGCGAAGCTGTGGTTGCTGCCTGAAGAGACTCTATATCTGGTGGAGAGAGGCAATTTGGACTTGTGGTGGCCGTCACGGCCGCTCCAGGCTGTTCGGTCCCAAACTGGGAATTATGACTTGGAGGAGGGAACAGAGGATGGCGTCCCGTTAAGTTTGCAGGCTGCATACAGTCTGTTCATCGGGGAGGGAGAGGGGCTGGTGAGCATGGAGACATACCAGGTTTATGCGAATCTCAAGAGGACGGGATATGTTGTTTCCAGAGCACCACCAGCAGCGACCACATCCGACGAGACTCCCCACCCACAAGAGTCATCAAGCCTTTTCAGCTGGCTATTTGGCAAAATATTCGCATCCGAACCCAAAACTCCAGCCCCCTACGGACCTCTTGTTCAACCCGGCTTGTACAGGAGTTATACCCAGATCTACAAACAACTCTCCATCATCCCCGTTCACAAACCCTCACCTGTTCCCAGCACCGTCCGCCCTACACCAAAGCTAGAGGTTACCTTTCACATCTGGAAACCGATCCGCATTCCCACATTCGCAAAATCGAACCCGGGGGAGCCTGATTTCCGGATTGCCGTCGTGTCCGCCAGAGATACCGGTGTGCCGACGCTGGAGGAGATCGCAGGCCTTCTAGAGAGCACGCCGTGGGATCCGCCGAAGAAAGAGTGGACCGGCGATGCAAAGAGCTACCAGAGACTGAAACACGGGTTTCGGAATGTGATACTGGCGGTGGTGGACCAGGGGATCATCAGTTACCTGAATATGAGCGAGGCGGCGTTCGGGGAGGAGAGTCTTTATGGGAGGTTTGATAGAAGCGGAGGAGGGGTTAGGG